GCCTGGTAGTCTTTGACCAGACCGGCATTGCTGGGCTCCAATTTGATGATCCGGTTGTGTTGGCCCTGAATCACCTGTTTGGTTTGGCTGAAGCCCGACTCAAAGGACAAATTCTGTTGCCCAACGGCGCTGTTTTGCACAAGTTGGGCTCAAATCGTTGATTCGGTCTTGAGCTGGCTCGGGAGGGCAGCGATCTGCTGCTGTAGTTGCACGATCTGTGCTGCTTTGCTGAACCGTTTGGTCCAATAGTCCTCCCTTGTTGGGTCACCTGGACGAGAGTTTAATGATTCTCATACAGCAGGTGAAATCCGTTGCGCAAGCGGTAAATCTCGTCCTGCAGCTTGGACATGTCATCGACAAGACGATCGTTTTCTGTCTGAAGTTGGTCCGCCTCAGAGTCAGTTTCGTCGATGATGATTCGACTTCCCGCCAGCCGAGCAAACAGTTTGTTTGTCTGTTGAGGGTTTATAACGGGCCCGCATTTTATGGCATTTTTTTAGCATTTTCTAATTATTTTGTAAGTGAGTTGCCGCGACTTCAAAACAATCGTTGCATTTTATTGCCATTTCTTGCATCTGACCTTGGAGTTTATTTGTAGTGTAGTGGCTACGCGCCATATTAGCGCGTAGCAACCCGCATGACTGTGTTGACCTGTAGAGGACGCATTTTATGTGGTACTACGAGTATTTCCATTATTATCATTATTACTCAGTATCTATCCGGCCAGAGTGGCACAATAAACATCTGTGCCAAGACGTGACAATTGGCGTGAAGTGTAGTATTCTCTGAACTCTGAAGCGGGAAAGGAGAAGAGGAAAGCGAGCGCTATATAATAAGAGATCGAAAATGACGACCACAACCGATCAATTGACCAAGTTCAATCCGGAAACCATGGACTGGAAGGCGTGGAAGTTTTGTATGATAATTATACTGTGCTGACCGACCTTCATACGGACAAGCACCGTGCCTTGCTAATAAACAGTCTGGACACGAAGGCCCTGCAGCTTTTAGTTTCGATGTGCAAACCCAAGATGCCGTCCGACTTCACACTGGGTGAACTGGTCACGAAGCTGGAAACGGCCTACGCCCCGTACACAAACCAAATAACCGAGTGGGCGCTGTTCTTCAGTCTTCGGCAGGACGAAAAAAGAAAGCCTGGTGGACTTCGCGACACGTTTACGTGACAAAACGATCCTATGCGACTTTCCGGCAACAGTGCTGGAGAAGAATTTAAGTGCTGTGCTCGTGGCAGGCGTCAAAAGCGACGCAACAAGACGCTACCTAATGCTGCAAGAGCTGAAGACGTTCGACGCCGCCTCCAAATTGCTATCAAATATGAAACAAGCGTGAAAGAGGCGAGAAAAACTAATGTGGAAGAGAATGTGGTGAACAACATTAAGAGCGAGAAATAAGAGTGAAGAAAGAGGAGAAGAGCAGTAGAGAAAAGAGACAGGAAGAGAATGATGACGAAAGTGGAAGTGAAGAAGAGATGCCGTCCCGGCGGAAATGTAAAGATGTGGATCCTGGCGGCATACGCCAGAAGAATGCTGGTATAAAACACCAGATGCAATGGTTGCGGCATGAAAGGCCATATAGAGAGGGCATGCCAGCAGAAGGACAACAAGAAGAAGGAAAAGGTCAATACCGTCTACAATGTCGAGGAAGATTATTTCGACATTTTGCCATAATGTTCTGCTTTTTCACTTCATTTTAAGGGTGAAGATGTAGTGTAGTGGCTACGCGCCATATTAGCGCGTAGCAACCCGCATGACTGTGTTGACCTGTAGAGGACGCATTTTATGTGGTACTACGAGTATTTCCATTATTATCATTATTACTCAGTATCTATCCGGCCAGAGTGGCACAATAAACATCTGTGCCAAGACGTGACATTATTATACAACATTCTCAACGGGAACAGCGCGAGAGAGATGGATACGAGCAGTTTATAATGTTTTACCGGCGCACTCCCGTTTGTATTTCTATCCGATGTCACTGGTGAAGTTAACAACTGAATATTTGCACTGGCATACCAAAAAATCCAGGATTGGCCACGGCAATGTACCAACCTATAACATTTTTCCGTTACCTTCGAAAGTGTTATGGGCTAAATAGCCGGAAGGCTACTCTGACGCCCTCAATGGGGCTAAATAGCCAAGGACTATGAAACCCCAGTATGGGGGCTAAATAGCCAACTAACTATTAGACGGGCCCCACTGGGGCAAAATAGCCCAGTAGTTATTGTCCCCCACACACTGGGGCAAAATAGCCACCCGTTAAAGTAATCTGTGCAACAAGAGCTTTAAAGGGTGTTAATGAGACTCCGTGCCCGGGAGTTCCTTATTTAGATGTAGTTAACCAGGACCACTAGATACCTACGGTATATTAAAAGTTACAAATATATATAACTTTTAACTGCTTGTAATTTCAGTTGGTCGGTGCTTCAGAGTTTTGAACGTGGTTTTGATTTAGTCTCGCGATACTGTTACAAAATCCTAATGGCCACCGCGCAGCAAGTCCGCTCTGATGCAGCAGCCGATTTAATTACTTCCGAAATTATGCGGACTAGGCCGACGACCTGACCTTTCTCAGTACCTAAAGTAATCGGTGATGCGTATACGCAAGATTACGACATAAAGTTCTTACTCCTGTTCATTGAATTTTGAAATAACCGCGCGTTGCCGGGATCGCCAAAAAGGATGCTGAAACAGTTTATTTGATACATACTTGTTGCTATGCTCATGATCAAAGTCTATGGCTGCCGGCCAGAGTACGACGCGAGGTCTGTCCTGAACTGATTTATGGTGAAAGTTTCATTAACCGTTGCAAGAACTTGTACCATGACAGAATCCGTAGCTCTCGCAACAGAAAACTACCACTACGCATTGCCCTGTCACTTTTCTCAACGCTTACACCGCGAGTAATATTAGAAATAAAGAAGTGTCGGATGGCCAAGATCTGTGTTGGGGACGCGGTTATCCGCAACGGTGACATCCAGCTCTACAGCTCATGAAAACCAATTGTGAGATCTTGAATGTTCTGAAAGTGGACTGCTGAGGTTCGAAAGAAGGCAACAACGTGAAGTTCCGAGGTTGCGAACGCTTAATTGTCGCCTTGCCCTGCTAGGCTAGCTCCATGCGAAGAAACCGGTGTGGGACTTTCCGGGGACCCGTGCAAGCTGCCTTGGTGTATATCACGCATTTGTGGCACGTATCGCGATGGCTTCAATGAGTGACGTCGATCCATGTTTGCGAAGGTGTGTCCATGGTTAATGACGGAGCGTGATATTACGCCGCTGCTTACTTTCATGTTAACGGTATCTGTGGACGAAATGCGGTAGTGTGGTTTAGATGGGACGCTTAACCGTTATAAAGGAACAGAGTATCAAATTCGTCGGGGCCATATTTAACCGGTCAGGCACCGGTTATCACCCTTGGGGAACATGATGTACGAGTATATGTACAATGCATTTACGTACTCGTACTCGCATTTAAACATATTTTATAACCAGCTGCAGTTCTACAGCTCCAAACTTAAACTCTAGGTGTACAGTATTACTGGTAAAGGTCTCAGCCGTCCTAAAAGGGATTAAGCGGTATAATATCATCAAGTATATCATTAATAATATCATTAAGTATGGTGGGAATGCCGGCAAGTTATCTTGACATTGCGGTTTCATATTTTTGTTTGCGGAGGTTGATTTTCAAGTACCACAGAATTACACCCCAGTCTCCTTATGGAGAATCCATTTGTGAAAGCCCCTAGACACCAGTAAGCACAAACAGAAATGCAAGTTTCGTGTATTCCACTGCAAGATCATGTTTCCGGTAAATGGATTGTAGTCATTGTACTCACATGTGATGATTGCAGTGTTCAAGGCTATGTTTTACGAAAGGTTTCACGTTTTACAGTTTCGGCGTAACACAATGTGGGAATATTTACTGATCGTGAAACGATTTTCGTTGATCACGGCTGACAAGCAGCTTAGAAATGCGCACAGATTTTGCTGCGTGTAAAGTAGCACGTATTGCACAGCAAGAACATTTACGGTTCATACCGGATATGCAGTTGCCGGAAACTAATGGAGGAAGGGAGGTGGTGAGCCCTGTTGCTGATCGGTTTTCACGACGCATCGTATAGACCTCGAGGGCCAGAAACGAGGCAGCATGGGATTAAAAAATATTTTAGCCAGAACTGTGCGACAAGAGACTCGGCGAATTCGTCAACCCACAGCGTTCAATCTGTCAATCCATTCTTGCCATGCAACGACGAAATTGAAAATGTATCGCGTGTGCTGTGATCAGTTTTTCAACTTGCTACTCTTTTCCTGCAGTACACTCTAATAGGTATGTGCTACCTTTAACTGCATCGTATGCGGGCCAGCTGCAGACTCTCTAGTATATTGTAATAATACGTAATATTTCTTTACATATAGTACAATATGTACTTGTAAAAGCGTGCTGGCTGACATTGTGATCAGTATGTTAAATGCATGCAATGCCTGTTCCGGATCCGAAAGTTGACATAAAATGCGCAGTACATAATCTGCGCATTACGACATCTGTGTGTGTAAAAGAGACAAACAGAATTACCACGCAATAAACTTCACTCGATTCTGATTTGAACGGATTACATTCTTGTATCTGTACGCACCACCTCGTGCACGATAATAACAACCGTCTAACCCTAGAAACACCTGCAACCGAGATCAAAAAGACGATCCCATCCGGCATTATCTTTCATGCAGGGATAATCAGGGCTGATAATCCTCAAGATGTCACATTATGTTAATGGCAGCTGTCACGGCGACAAAGTGCCGGTCCGATGCAACGGGCACCGGTGTCTTTCTGTCCACGATATAACTATTTCCGTCACGCTGCCACTCTCCAAGGGGACTTCACTTTACATGACGAGCCCAGTGGCAATATGTACACTGCCTCCCACGCGCTTTACCCGTCGCTTTAATAAAGCGCCGGCGCTGGTGCGGTTGGAGTGGCAGACCGCACTCGACACGATGATGCGCTTCGTTAATGCGGCATTTTTCCTCCCGCTCTTCCTGCCGGTATCCCGCACACAATCAGCGAATAATGCTTCCACGTCGGAAGAAGAGACCGTTACGCGGTCCGTTGTGCAGAATGCACAAGCGGCCGACTTCTTACCGAAAGTTCTTCCCAGTATCGGCGAGACGAAATTGTTGGGCTGTATTCTGATGGAACGCGGAGACACGAACGATTTGTATGATTATAATAAAGCCGCAGCGGCCTTTGAACTGGCGGTGGAGTGGATCAACCAGTATGTCTTCCCGGTTAATCTCAGCCTGCAGACGCGCTATCTGGATATCGGCAGTAATTGCGCACCGCGCAATCGCATTGTCGCGTACGCGATGGATCTGTGGAATCGCAACATCAATTGTGACGTGTATTTTGGACCGGGTACGAAAAACTATATTAAGGCTTTATTTTGCTACAGAAATCCTTTAAATTGACAGGTTTTAAAAGCTTTATTATCAGTTTTCTTATTTGCTGACTCGCTTAGTGTTTGTTTATTTATAATGTTTAGTAACATACATTGAGTAAGCAGGCATTATAAAGGTAAAATTAAACTGCACAAATTTTGTTTACACGTTGGACGCTGGACCTCCAATCCGAATTTAAGAATGATTTAATTAGCTTTAGAGTAATTTAATATTCGTCTAATTTTACACAGGGTGTGGTGCGGCGGCGGAGAATCTCAATGACTTTGCCGAATTTACCGGCACACCCATCTTCGGTTTGCCAGCGGCCAGTGTCGGGATGAAAGCGTCACTGGATAAGTACATTGGTGTTGCGTCCATCGATAACGCATTCGACACTGGCTAACGTCCTGGTGCGCTTCTTCACGAAATTCAACTATACAACACCGTTCTTCTTATACGACACGTTCAGCCCGTTTTTCCGCGAAATGGGCGTACTGCTGAGTGCAGCGATTCTGGAAGAAAACGCCGATCTGTACTACAGCGCAAAATTCCAGGGTTTCGACAGCTCAGTGGCCGGTCATGCCGATACGGTGGATTTCCTGGGAGAAGTCTCAAAAATCTCCCGCGGTTAGCGCAAGGAATATACCGACATTCCATTCCTGCGAACAGATGTGTAATCTTTCTGATTGCAGTGCTGATTATCCTAGCCAACGCGACGACGGTTAGGAATATCATGGTAAAACCATCTCTATACTAGCTTAAACTGTTTGGAAATTAACCACAACCTCTGGGGATCAGGTGACCGCATTCCAAGAAGGAATGACGAACGGCGATTATGTACGTTAAAGGTTGTTGAGCATGTTTACTACAAATGTACACGTGTTCGCTTTTACCGGAATTCAGGTGTTTCTCGCGGTGGAGTTGTTTGAAAATTCCCTCTGGGGACGCTTCACATGGCAGTATTACGACGAGAAGGATTCGGTCAGTTGTGCATCTTATTGGCTCTTATTAAAGATGCGATGTTGACATGCCGCATGAGTGGCTTCTGTTTTGCTATTCAGCTGGCTAAACTGGCCTTCCGCCCACTCCTTCTCTTATCCATACGCTTGCCCACGGACGACAGTCTAATGAATTTTTGGACGGATGTGCGAGAGCGCGCCCAAAAGAAGGGATATTATCATTTTGCTTCCGATTCCAAAGTGGGTGTTGTAATTTCCGCTCGTTTCCTCGTGGTTCACTAAACATAATTATTTTATTTATCCTATCTTGTATACCGTATACACATGCTTATGATTTATTATTCATACACATCAACAGAAGATTAAGGTTATCGTTGAAGTTGCTTCTTTTATAGCCGGATTTAATGGTCGCCCATGTCTATGATGCTGTCTACCTCTACGCTTCCGTGGTGGTAACGCTTTTGTCGCGATATCAAGACTTCCTGAACGGTTCGCTTGTAGCAGCTTCCGTTGTCAACTTTACCTTCTTCAGTGTGCCTTTAAACCGTCCAGTCGTCATGGACCAAAACGGTGACCGGGTGTCCACTTATACCATTAGAAATTTCGATCCCGGATCGGGGAAGTTTAATGTACGAAATGATCTGACAGTATCGTACCTGCATTCTGTCGCGTATTGGAAAAAACCGTTTTTATGTTATTTCTTTCGATAGGAACTGTACTTGGCCCCATCAACCTCGAAAAAACTTGTCTGTATCAGCCGGCTAAGTTGGCCCATCGGAAACCAGCTACCGCCGAATACTCCCCTCTGCGGTTTCGACGGGAACGCCCTTATCTGCCAGCAGATGAACGCTTTGTCTACATCAACGTTAACTGTGATAATCGTGTTACCGATTTTATTTGTTGCCGCTTGTGTAGTCATCGCCTGGGTGATTGTAAACGGTAACCATCTGTGAAAAAACCGATAGACTCAAATGTAGAAAGCGTTTTACGCTTAATTTCGCTCATTAGGTTATCGGCTCCGATTGACCCGTACTGGTGGCGAATATACATACATGAACTGAAAGCTCCTGTACTGGATACCGGTGCCGTTAATTTTAAACGCGAATCACAGCTTCATCACACCAACGGACTTTGTCAGTTCACACTATGAGAGGACGATCGGTGACCTTTAACGGTCATGTTCAGGTACATATTTCTAGTTGCATTAAAATAGATTTAAAAATTGATTTTTCCGTTTTAGGACCATGCGGACGCTGAGGATAAATCACATGAAATGTCGGAATCGAATATTTTAGCACCGTGGCAGAGAATCCTTACACGATCGGCGTGCTCCATCTAGAGATGGCGGTGGATTAGCCGAGCTGCCGAACCCAAAGCACAAAGTGCCCAAGACGCTGCTAAAAGACGTTACTCCGGTAAGGATTAGTGACAATATTTCCTTAATGCATGCACAATATTTCCTTTGGTTACCTGAAGAAAGTCGCATCGTGTTTGCGCAGATGAAGTTCATTCACCACAGCAATCTTCATCAGTTCATCGGAATTGTTGTCAGTGATGAGAATCTTTGCGTATTTACGGTCGGCGAAGTCTGCTCTAAGGGTCTTTAAAGCAGCTGCTAATGACATCTCATTTCGAGATCGATAATGTGTGCAAGAATTCTGATTGCCGACATTGTCAGTGTGAGTATTGTGTGTTAAATTACGCAACGTCAGCAGCCGCTATGGCGCGGTGTTTTTTTCTAGGGAATGAATGCGCTGCACGCAAGTGTCATCCGCTCACACGGGAATCTCACGGCCCTTACTTGCCTGATCGACAGCCAGTTAATGCTCAAGATTACCGACTATGGTTTACCTAATTTGACAAGAACACTTAATTTCTTTGATGCGCCGTTCGAATCACAAACCGAGCGGAATTTTCATGAACTGTTATGGCGTGCGCCAGAATTACTTCGAAGAAGAATGGAGCCAGCTGGAACGCAAAAAGGTCACGCAAACATTTTCAACGGGGTTTTATGGCCATTTTGATTTAATTTTTTTCTTTTTTAATCTTGTTTTTATGACCTTATTCCAGGCGATGTGTACAGCTTTGCCATACTTCTTCAGCAAATTATTTTGCGTAGTGCACCTTTTCGCTTGGAAGGTGTACCGGGAAGTAATGAAAAAGCAAGAGAAATAGTTCTTGAGGTAACGCTTAAATCTCCGCCTGTTAACACTAAACCGGTATGAAACTCAAATCTGTTTAACAGCTTAAACACGGTACAGCGCCGCCACTGCGCCCACCCGTTCCGTCCTCCGCTTGCGGGCCGCGGCTATACGATTTAATGGAGGCCTGCTGGGACGAGAATCCACTATCCCGCCCATCATTTCCGCGGATTCGCAGCCTTCTCGGCCGCATCGTCGGCCACTCGGGGAACATCGTTGACAGTTTAATTAAATCCATGGAGCGTTACGCCATGACCTTAGAGCAGCAGGTGGAGGATCAAATGCACAATTTCATGGAAGAAAAGCAGCGCTCGGAGATGCTGTTAAGCAATTTGTTGCCAAAGTATAACGTTTTGGTTCACTACCAGCACTGCTCGCAGAAAAGAAAGGGTTTTTTGCAGATCGATTGCCGAAGCAATGCAAACGGGGCACACAATTTACCCGGAAACGTTTGCTAGCACAACCGTATACTTCGGGGATATTCCCGGGTTTACGGATATTATCTCCAGGGAACCCTCGCCGAAACACGTCATCGGTGTTCTCAATTCTATGTATAATACGTTTGACAGCATCTTGGAGAAATTCGACGTTTACAAAGTCGAGACAATCAATGATGCTTATTTGGTAAGCACAATTGCTTTCCATTTTGTAAAATCTTTCCTCATAGTAAAGCTGTATTTTTAAATATCTTAATAATTAAAATATTTTTAGGCGTATCAAAGCGTTTAAAATCTTTTGAACATCTTTTAAGCGAAACGTCTTTAAATCGTACATATCCTTTAAATATCTTCAAGCGTAATATCTTTCAGTATCTTTAAAGCGTAAATATGTTTAAGCGTAACAAGGCGCTTATTAGGGAAATTGTTGCTTGATGACCTTTTAGGTTGTAAGTGGTCTTCCAGTTAGTAATGGCCTTCGCCATGCCAACGAAATTGTGTCCATGGCCATGAGTATGATGAGGGACACGGAGAAACTGAACAGCTTCAACGCAACCGTCCGCTCAGCGGGCAATTCGCCCGTGTTTGAACTACGTGTCGGTGTTAACTCAGGTGTTGATCCAAGCACATTTTCGCGCACATATAAACCCAGTATAAAATCGTCACGCCAGTGACCCATTTGTAGGTCCTTGCGTTGCCGGCGTGGTTGGATTGAAAATGCCTAGATACTGTTTGTAAGGTCACATTTCATCTATCGTAGCGTAAGTTTCGTGAAATTGTGAGTTTGTAACATGTGAATGCGCTGACATGCAGATTCGGGGATACGGTGAATACAGCTGCCAGAATGCAAACCAACGGAAAAGGTTTGTGACAGCTTGTTTTAAAAATTCCGAAGATTTTACGCTCACTACACCGGTGAATGTTCACAGCGGGTAAAGTACATTCCACACCAACGACAATGGAGATACTGGAGCGAGCGAATAGCGGCCAATACGGTTTCTCTAGCAGAGGCCAAATACAAATTAAGGTACGCAACAATGATGTCACGCTTCTCAACAACCTGTATCGTTGACTGCGAGGTTGCTATATTTCTAGGGCAAAGGACTTATGGAAACATTCTGGATTGTGGAAAAACAACAGTGAAAAGTGTTACTGTGATCTCAGCTTCCGCACAGTATTTATCCACAGCGCTTGCCAGCCCGTAAAAACAATTTCTTGCATACAAGTATACATGAAATCCGTCAGTGAAAACTTAAGATACGGAATTACTCGTCCAAACCAGCGGCGCTGGACGCGGTATCGTTGTTGCACAAGGAAGTGTGGTGGTCCAGTTGCGGCAGCATTCCCTTCATTAGGTTAAGAAGATTATTTTGCAAATGTTTGATCTGTTGTTTGGAGTCGCGGGCTTGATAGATTAAGATGAAGTATGTCAGCAACATTCCGGTTATCTAAAAGCAACACTTTCCTTGTAATTAATATCATTTAATAATTGCAATTGCATATTCTGTACCAATACAAGCATATGCAGTTCGATGATACTCGAAGCAGAAACCAAATATTCGTATTTTTACCGTCCCAAAATATTCTTTAGTGATGGCAGCGAAACCGGCAGCGGAGATGGCTGCATTTCCACTCTGATTCAATGCTGCGTCCACGCGTGCACATTCATTCTGAATTCGTTGATCGTCCGATTTTAAGCTCAGACGCTGTGCGTAGTTTCCAAGAATTTTTGCCTGCAATTAAGATAAAATATCAAATGTATATAACAAGTGTTTTCAGCAAACAAATTCTTCAGTACTGCGAGCCAGGTATTTGCCAAATTATCTGTAAGTGTATGCTGCGGTACGTACTTGTTCGTAACAGTAACTGCAGACGCAAAAGCGGAGCACCATATTAATCAGTGTTGCTACTACCGGGGCGATGTTCCTCAGAAGCAAGTTAATCCGATCTTTCCGGCGGATTTCATATACAAGCGTCGCTGCAGCTCCTTCGGGCTGAGGTGTCACGTCTTCCAACCATAGCGACACATACAGAATAAACACCATCAAATCCTGCACGCAGAAAATAAAGTTTATCCACCCGAACACATCGTTAATCCTCTTAATAACATCCAGTAAGATGCCACTGTTATGAACACATATCCTCCACTTCTCGATTGTCATATCCAGTTGACCTTTACAGCTTTTAACTGATTTTATTTGGCGTTGAAACGCTTTAGCGGTGGCGAAAACCAGTAAAAATATCAGCGACTGAGAAGTATTACAGATTGCTGTGTTGATTGATGTATGCAGCATAATCAGGGCGTTCGGCAGTGCGTCTGGGCCCTTGATTAGGCCAAAAAAGATAGCGGTATCCAAATGAACTGTTCCGTTTACGACCACTGGAGAATCTGCCAATTCCATGCTGTACTGCCAAAACGAGGAGGCCAATCCGACTAGAAACCAAATGACGGCGGACACAGGACATAGCGTTAACCACAGCGGGCGTTTTTCGGAACCGCTGCCCATCCATAAGGCTGGATTTTGCAAGTACGTAAGCAATTTTGGTAGTTTCTTCATTTTACCCCACATAAGTAAAATTGTCAGTAAAACCTGAAATTTCATTTTTTTCGTTGCTCGCCTTTTGGTTTTTAAGTAGTAAGGTACAAAGTTCAAATTGAAAGTTACCCGTATCTGGGACGACGAAAAACACGTGATGTTGACCAGCGTAAAAAATTCCAGCTGCTTCAGATCCTCTTCATACAGTAACTGGTGCTTATCGATCCGCACGATTGTGAACCAGAGAAAAAAGCAGAACAATAACACAGAATAGACCATCCACAACCGATGTATGGACGCATTCTTCCGGGATGGATCATCGCGTGAAAACGTAACCGGTAGGACACCACAGATCTGCAAGCATCGCCAGAAGTACTTTGGAACGACGGTTGGAGCGAATGGCGTTGGCAGCACTGGATCGACCGTCATTACTTGCTGTACAGGGTGAACGGTGTTCACAGCGTTCATTTTCATCAGCTGCCATCAAAATTAGTAGAAGGTTACCGTGGCGGAAAATTAAAAGGCTTAAGGAAAAGCGTCTGCATGGAGCAGGTCTTTCGACAGCATGATTATTATAAAAGTGGAATGTGACTATGCGGTACCTATCTGCAGATCTGCGCAGAATGGTAGTAGCACTGCATGGTGTTGTGTTTTGAAGTATACTTCCGTTTTAAATATTTTCGCCACAAAAATCGATACAATCTTGTCAAAAATGATAGCAACGGGCAAGGAACTACTTGGACAAGCAAACAGTAGGCCATTTTGATGGAACATTAAGTAAACATACAAGACGTCATGATCAAGAAAGTAGTCGCAAGTTTTCCAGTCAATCACCTGTGACCTTTGAGCATGAGGATATAACGGTTCGGTGTTATTTCGGTGTTCAACTGCATCTGTTTTGCAGTGTAGTACAGATCCGTATTATGAATGCAGTTTGTAAATATAATTTGTACACTTTCGATTGCATAAGTAGTTCCACTAGTTATTATGTACTATTACATTGTATTACTATGTAAGGCTAAAAAGCAGATTGTGTGCTAATGTGGTTAACTGGGTGTGCATTTTCTTTGTTTACAGGAAACAGAAATATTTAGACTTAAGATCAGAAAATACGTATGCTTGAAAGGCTGCCGAATTGATCATCGCTCAGCACTTGCATCCTAATGTATTCCCAATTTGCATAATATTATACTCTGCATCGGCGAAAAGGGAATGCGCAGACGCTGTTGCATTATGATAATTTTGTTGTCACAGACAAATGCAGCATTGAATTTTCGTCCGATCATGGATAAATAAAAAGCGTGTTCCTTATGCATTTTACCACCGGTTCATTTTTCGAAAGCCTAGTCCAGTTGTTTCCTCGATGTATGTCCTTTCCTCACAAAAATACATAATTTGTATTCATAATTCTTTGGCTATTCCGCAAGACCTTCACAATGGCAAAGTCCGAGCCGTCTGACGTGAAACCGAATCAACCTAGCGTTACTGTAGTGTGCCCAAATGTGATTCCAAAATATCTTTGGAGATGCCTTCAGATCATCGGTGTTTTACCGGTTGACTATTTCGATCCTACAAAACAAGCGGAACCTGCTTTGAATTGTCCCCTTTTGGCGTACTCCGTAGTTATAATGGGACTGGTGATTACGTACGGAGTTATTCGTGTTGGCAGCTACGTGGAACTGTACGAAGAACAACTTCGAGGTCTAGAGTTCTTCTCATTGATTAGCTTCTTTTGCTTTACTTCTTCTCAGCTCCAAGTAAGTACTAATCGCAAAAGCCAAGTTATTTTCAGAAAAAGCAGAAAATTACTGCTACGTGGATAATAAATAAAAAATTTAATTTTACTATGTTCTTTTATACATAATACCACTGATCAGCTTTTGCGTTGCCGCTTTCGCTTCACGATAGTAGAGTAATTCAGTACTCTAGTAATTTTTAATTGTTAGGTCAGCACGGTGCTAATCATCTTATACATAAAATCAAAACACATTCCTGTCCTGCTAAATAAACTTCACAACGGTCATCTCTGGAAACGTCCAATTTCCAGCAACAGACGACCTATATGGACACTGGTCAGTGCTCCAGCGGCGCTTGTTTGGGTCACACTGACTATCGCCGCGCCCTTTCTCCATATCCAGCAAACAGTTGCCCACCGAATCCAGTTTGATCAAGCCGTACGCAATAACAAATCTTGGGATACCAACGAACCGTTATTTTACGGCACACTTCCTGGACGCTCCTCGTACTGGATCACACTGGATGCACTGCATCGTTCGGTTACACTGGGAATCATTAACGGCAGCCAGATGTTGACCTTTCTCATTGTGCTGGCCATTGGGAAAGCCTTTGCGCAGCAAGGAGATATGCTCGAAAACTGCGTTCCTAAAAAACCAACGGTGGACCAGATGGCTTTAATCCGACAGAGTGTCGCTAGTTTATTGGAGATTGTTGGCGGTACTAACGCCGTATTCTCGTGGATCAACTTGTCGGCAGGTATGCAGGATATGATGAACATGGTGAATTATGTGGCGCTGTTGCTGGATGATAATGACATTACGGAAGACACGGCCGTATATGCGGCACAATTTCGGTCACATCTGCGACAGGTTATAATTGCGCAGAATGTCGATGAGGTTATCATGTCGGTTGTTAATCTCATGTTGCGGGTTGCCGTGTGTAGTTACTGCCATGAACAGGTAAGGTGCGCTGGTGTGACCTCCTTTAAAATGCAAAGGTTACGATCACGCTTAGGGATATCCACAAAAGCAGTTTCAAAGCTGCTTTATGCAATACTCGTATATGATGTTTCAGGGTGAGGCTTTGGGCTTTCTAGCGCTAAAGTGCAGTCTACGCACAGATAATTCCCGAGTTCACGAAGAGTGTGTGAAAATTCAAATGGCAACGTCGAACAATCGATGCACCGCAATCTCGGCCGGTGGTTTCGTGTGCATCACAAAGGAATTTCTGGCCATTGTAAGAACATTTTGTTCCAAGATACAATTATATTGCAAATCTATTAAAACCAGAAATATACGTAATATGCACCAATGCCGATCGAAATATGTACATAAATAAATATGCCGAATAAAAGATTTTATTTAATGTTCATAGCTAAACAGAGCGAATTCATGTTAAGAACCTGTGTAACTTTTCTTTAGCTGTTTGGACTCTTTATCACATATTTCATCCTTATCTATCAAACTCGAGATGCTAGGAATGAGATGGATAAACTGGAAACAGCCATTGGTTACCGAGTGAGCAGGGAACTGAGCCAGTTGCTCAACATCTCGCGACTACAAATGTTTACCTACGTGTAGTTATATTTTGCTGGCATATACGCCCTAATTGTAGTAGTTAACTGAATTACATCGAATTGCCAAAGTTGTTTCTGGTTCATCTGTTTAGCTGTTTCATCTGCTTAGTGCTGTAATTCCCGTTTACTTGCATACGTGACCTTCCATACCTGCAGCGCAATTGCAATTATAGTGAACTTTGTAATTATCGAAATTCTCCAGACACTAAAAGTGTTCAACGTGTCTCACTACGGGGTCTCAAATAAATTCGCCGCAAAAAATGCTGTTTGAGTAAGGATGACAAAATCAATTAAGGGAGTTTATTTACCTTTGTGATTATTACACCAACTACAAGGAAAAGAATTGTCCCATTTACCTCGAACGGAAGGATCTACGATATGCTTGCACAAATAGGAGAGTATTTATTGTGTCGGTTTGCATGCTCATCATCCCTTTCGCTTTTCCAGAGACAAGTATGCAAACAGAAATATTACACGCAGGGCTAACCTGTCCTAAGCAAACACTTGTGCGCCCTCATCCGTCCAATTGCAATCACACAACTTTGTGTTTCCGCTGCTATAGTCGATCATTTAGTGCGATATTACACATATCATTGCACCGTACAAATTGCTTTTCCTAGGGTTCTACACAACTGCAAGCGTGTTATTTCAGTGTCCATATGGCAGTTTCCGTTGATTCCGTGACATAGCATAATGAGCGCCATGATAGCTCCCATCCAGACAGACCAAAACAATCCCGGCGTTCCTCAAACGAAACCGTCTAGTCCCGTGGTTATTCCCAAGTATCTGTGGCGAATTTTCCAGTTTATTGGACTGTTGCCGGTTTCCTATCGTCGACCCACGGAACCTTGTCTTAATCCTCATAATAACTGTTTTCTCGTGCTGTCTTCGCTGCTTTTGCTGTGCCTCATTTTGGCGTACTCAGTTATACGAATTGGAGATTATGTTGCTCTGTACCTCGATCAGCTGAAGGATCTGGAGTTTTTCACGTTGATAAGCTGCATTTGCTTCATATCATCACAACTGCAGGTGTGTCAACAGAATAGCTCCATAGCTTCTCACGGATGTAGGGCAACTTGGCGTAACGGTAACCTGCTTAAGTTTAACACTTAAAACTACGATAGACGACATGTTTCGATAAACGTTGAAAAGCCGAAAGTCAATTTCGATTAGACACAGGTCCATATCAGAAGCATTGCTTCATCCGGGATCGGATCAATCCAAATGATAAAATATCAATATAATTATAAAATACAACTTTTTCTTTATAGTGTTCTCTGATCTCGTTGAGTGGGGTGAAACCGTTATAGTGGTAGAGGTAGTGTATTGTAGTGGCAATCGTTCACAGAGCAACGTATCCGCTAAATACCTTTACGTACCTTTACGATAGAAATTACGGGACAAGCTTGTATGCATGTATTAAAGCGGATGAATGCTGTGTAAGCCATTCAGCATGTGTGACTACCTGTTTTGACCAGCTCGTCATGAGCGTAGTATGACTAGGCACTTTATCGGAAGCTGCCCATTCTACAGTATTTCTAAACCTGATTTTAATAATTTTTCTTCTTCCGATCTTACGGGACGACGTTCTTCTAAGTTAGGTCTGCGATCTGGCCGCACAGTGAACTGGTGTTTCTCTCGCTTCTGGTAATCGTGATCATAGCGGATGTATGTTGTATTTCTGTTTTAGGTGCCATGGATTTTCATGCTTATGTACATAAAAGCCAAGTATCTTCCAAATTTATTATGCAAACTACACAAACCGCTTCTCTGGTATGACAACAACAAAGCACGGCGGCCGTTGTGGTCGGTGATTGCAGCACTGTTAGCTCTGCTGTGGGTCATCGTGACCTTCATCGCACCGGTATTCCACCTAGGCCAGGTCATCCGGCAGAACATCATTTACGAATGGTACAATGATCTCAACGATACCTGGAGCACTCCTGAAACGAAGTTCTTTAACCTGATCGCCGCTCCGTCCTGGCTGTGGCTGGCCGTGGAAATCATCCATAAAGGGGTCATTCTGGGCGTGACCAACGGCAGCCAGATGTTGACGTTCTTGGTGGTGCTGGCCATTGGGAAAGGCTTTCGTGATCAGTGTCGTCTGTTGAAGAATAACACGGTTAATGATCGCAAACCGGGATTGGAGACGTGGGTGTTCTGCCGGCGTAATACAGCGGCATTACTGGATATCGTTTATAAAACGAACGACATCTTTGGCTGGACGAACCTGGTTGTCTGCATGCAGGATCTGCTGAATCTCATACACTATGTCGCGCTCATGCTGCAGGAGATGATTCGCGAGCAGACACAGGATGAAGATACGTTCGAAGATCAGAGGTTTGAGAAGAAAATAATTGAGATACAAAACGTGGACCCACTGATCATGTCCGTTGTCAATTTGGTACTACGGTTTGCGGTGTGCAGTTATTGCAATGAGCAGGTAAATATTCGTACTAAAAGCTGAATGGTCGGTTCACATTGCGCCTGGTTTTCAGGGACAAAAGTTGGGCTTCCTGGCGCAACAGTGCACGCTGCAGTCTGATGATGTGAAAATACAGATGAATGCCAGAAGATCGTCACCGCGGTGTCCCGCAATGGGAGTACGACGATTTCTGCCGGTGGATTTGCACAGATTACAAAGGAATATTTGGCTGCGGTAACCGTGACACACACTTTTATTACAGCAGCATACAAGTATTTAATTCTTCTACTGTTGCAGTTGGTAGGATTGTTTCTGACATATTTCATTCTGATCTATCAAGCTCGCGATTCCAAGCAAGAGATGAGGAAACTCCAAGACGGAATCAAGAGTGACATCAAAGGGCAGATTTCGAAGTTTTCTAGACAATCCAGTACATGACATCATTTCTGCTTGAATACTGCAAACTGCTCGTGGCACGGCAAAACCGTTTATCTCGTTTCGTTTTCTATAGAGTAATCAAAAGTCAGGAAATAGCAAACCCAAATAGCCCGACTGGACAGAACTCACTGTATGTACGCTACAATCACGAATTATTAGTAAGGTCATATTTGAAAAACCCTGTGTCGTTAAAAAAGAAGCTGCTAAGCATGGTAGCTGAAAATTTTCATCGAGCGGAGAAGCTACCATCAATCAACACTTATCCTACATAAAAAGCCCAGAAAATGCCTTGTGGATTAATGCAGTACACATACACGCTTGTAAATTCTGCTTGCACGTTTTTCTAATATACGAGTTTTTTAAGAATAGAGCTTTCTGTGAAAAAGTTTTCTAGTTCTACTACTTGTATACGAATTTTCAGGAGTTAATTGAATGTTCTTTGTTCGGTTTCCAAATCGAAGCTTACATTGGCGCCGTACAACAGCTCGGCGAGCCGTCTAACAGGAATTCCAGTTTTCGACTGAAAGTTTTCCTGAGCTACATTTAATGTTATTGGAGCTTCGTAACATATGTGACTTTCTTACGGTAAGTATGAACAAATGACATCAGGAGTTGCCACCGGACCATTATTATTATTATATTGTATTACCGGGTTATTGCCACCGGCCCGGTGGCAATAACCCGGGAATAAAATACGTACTATAACCCGGTGGCACAGATTAATAATATCCGCGCATTTTCTCATAAAAAATTATGAGAAAATGCGCGCGGAGGGTTATTGGCATTGTCCAGTGTGCCATGGAGATAAAATATCGCCGGAAGGGACGCGTTTTCTGTAAACGCTATCAATACTGCGATCACAGTTTTCGCCGATACTGCAGCTGTGAATTCTAATTAAATCGCTCCAAAGAACGTATGGCAAAAAATCGCTGCATGCCTACATAAATCAAACAAAATAAACGTAATTTAAGTACCCAGTAGATCGTATAGCGCGGAGGTTCTTTTCGTACCACCTTACCGTTTTCCCAGTCGCCGCTGTCAGCAAATTTATGCCCTTGAATGCCATTAAATTACCTCTTTGAAATGGAGTTTCCCTTTTTTCTTGGCACTTTTGTGAGGCTGACATTACTCGGGTCCGTAACATTACAAGGTAAGAAAAATAAGCATTTCATCGCTCATTAACAAGCCATACGGTATACTCTGTAGGTTAGCTTTCCCATATTTGCAGTGTTTGCACAAACCGGCCTGATGAAGCCAGAAAACTTTTGGCCCAGTCCAACAATGTATTCCTTATCACATGCACTCATCCTTCGGTAGGTACGCATTGTACGGATATACTCGTAATATTATACAATGCCAAGTGGCCAGCTGGATTTGATTTTTAGAACTGTGTCAGATTTTTCACCACCATGAGAAATGCCCTGTAACCAATTATTTCTTTGCACAATAATTTTAGATGCAACAAAGCATGCTGCGGATCAGGGACGCGCTTTGGACTCTATCAAATCAGACAGGATCGTCAAATTGCGTACGGATGAGAAGGAGTATATACGGTTCCGGAGAGCACCAGTCAGGTTCATTGTGAATTTCGGTCATGAGGTTCGCTGCCGTTTCCGGTTAACGACATATAAATATAAATAAAATACCGTGTATCATAGCACAGCTATGATTTAAAAACCACACCTCTATTATGCTCATGAAATATCACAGAAATATCGTGAGTGTAACAGAAACATTGTTACATACTGTATTGCCGTGCCATACGGCACTTACTTGCATGTCTCGGCATAACGTTGTAATTCCTTAGATGCGCAGCAGAAGTTGGAAGAATGCCAGGTCTCACTACCAATATCGTTCTCTCCACTGCTTGTACGAATTCTTCCGGTATAGTTATCCATCACATTCTGCATGGGCTGGGATTTTTTCACGAACATCAACGTCCCGACCGCGACCAGTATGTGCAGCTCCTCACCGACAACATACCAGAGCACTTAGCGGCACAGCGATATTACGAAATTCTTCCGAACATGTCTTCCTTTGGACTACCGTACGACTTTCAATCGATCATGCATGCAAGTCCTTTCGAAAATAGCATTTCTGGGACTAAACCAACGTTTGTACCAAGGGATAATAGTAGTAACGTATCCAGGGTAATAGGTCAGCGATCCCAGTTAAGTTCTTTGGATATTGTCCGCATACGCACGGCATATGCGTGCGATACAAGGCACGGGGAGTCTCGTTCTTCCACATGCGCGCCAGATTTGGGAGACGATAATGATGTTCCAGTTTCCATCGATAGTTCAGGTCAGTCGCCATGTTAGAGGAGAGACTGCGACACCTTCGCGCTAAATTTAATACAGAAATGTGCTGTTGGTAATGTGACCAGCATAATGTGTATATCATCGACGACCTTAAAGACAACAGGCTGACGGCTTGCGAGGACTGATATTCAAGCTTTGTGGTATTGCTATCTGATCCACAGCGTTTTCTCATCACAGATGATACCGGGGCCTGTTTCAAAGCCAAGGGCCCAAGATCATGGAAATGAAATGCCGGTCAAGTGTAATACGTATTCCGGTATTTGATCCCGACACGTCGGACGCTTCAGCTGCTATCTTTACCTGTGATGCCACACCGCGGTGCGCAATTATGCTTCACAGCTTCTTTACTTCCTCCTAGAACTGGTCAATGCCACAGCACCTGATGCTTCACAATGGTGGGATCGTACGGCCCTTCAGTTATCTTTCGGTGCAATAACAACACGGCGGCCGTAGTCGGTCCAGATCTTCATGTTCAGAACCCAAATAAAATTATCATTAACACAGATAAAAGCTTCGTTTGTCGCAATTCATTCTTCAAGTTTCTGCAGTTTGTAATAAGCGATTACGTGGAAAATGGAGCAAACGCGGTGATGCCGTTGACCCCCAGTGCCATCATCCCAATAGAGGAATGGGTCAGTGGTTTGTTGCGCTGCCCGGAGTACAAACGTGCTCTCGTTGTAAATTGCACTACTGGCATTATAATCTTTTTGGAGCCAGATCCGGTAACATCCGGGAAAAGCGTAGTCGATGTCATCAGTGATAACAGCTTTCGCTGTCGAGAGTTTGTCTTCAGTCTCCACGAACACCTCGTTACATCTCCCACCTATCAAGTATCGTATGGCTCTTCGGCTCGAAATTCCATTGTTGCGGTCTGTCAGAGAGGCCGGACTGTCATTTCGGATGCTAATCCAAGAGACTCAGAAAAAATCAGTCTGGTCTTCTACTCCGCACCGAACAAACTCTGCCAGGATCATCTTCGTAAATTCCTGAACTTCATTCGCGACAGAGCATCCATAAAAGAAAAGGGCCCTAATTAACAACGCCCGCACTGGGGCACAAGCGGAACAAGATATTTTACTACTTTTCAAACTTGTCTTGGTCCTAAAGCTGTAAAACAATTGTAAGTTCTTGATGTTCTTCTTTGCCTTGTTTTCTGCTCGATTTGGCTTTGACTTGATGCTATATCCAGTGATGATAGCTATATCCAGTAAAAATAAACAGATTGCAGAGTATGTATCCGTACTGTCAAGTGTTACAAATCATGGACCTGTAAAAAGATTGTCTTTGTGGTTCAGTTACTGTGTAAAAATGACCAGTACTACTTCCGCCGAAAATCGGAACACAACCGAAAGCACAGTTCCCGCCAGACTTGGAACTGTGCTTTCGGTTGTGATCCGAATGGCATTAACAATTAACAGTTGCATTCCATACGGTCTACAATATGCGTTTTCAAAAAGCCAAGTGATTCTGACGCTTTCCTGGTTCTGCTCGAAGTATGCTGTATAACCGCTTAACGAACAGAAAGAACACTTGGGGGCATACGGACACATTTGCTTACTTCTGTCGACCGTAGTGTTGACTGTACTCTCCATTCGTCCACTGACAATCTGCTTCGATTCCCGACACTCTGAATTGAAACAGCATCAATGTTGTGTCAGAGTAGCAACTGACAGTGAGCACACCTGCTGCTTCATAGACAGCATGACACAAGACGTGTGGAGGGAGGATCGTAATTGTTCCGTGTTGTAAGTGCATCGATGTGTCGACGTACTAACCAACAAGAAACACCCAACGGAAACCCTTATGCAAACACTGCCAACTGTTTGTGGATTTTTTAGATTGTTGAGTAGTTTTAAAAGGAATAGAAAAGATGCCTTTTGAAAGAAACCACGATCCACCAGAGATCGTTCCACGATACTTATGGAGATGCTGTCAGATTTTGGGTTTTCTTCCGGTATTTTATCCTAAACCCAAACATCCTTCCGGTAATTGCAACGTTATGTTTTTGCGACTATATTCTGTTCTCGTAGCCATAATTTCTGCGACGTATATCGTCATACGGTTTGGCAGTTTCGCCGATATGTATTTGGAGAGATTGGAAAGTCTGGAAATGTTCACGTTGGTCAGCTTTATTTGCCTGATTGCTTTCAACACCCAAGTAAGTTAATAATACTCGTAATCTCGTAAACATAAATCTGTTATGCTGGGTGCGTGTTTAATAATAATTATGTTATAAACGCGGTCAGTACGCAGGGTGGCAGCATTTGTAAGCCGGTTTACTTGATGTCACGTTTCCCGTTCCTGGTCATTTATCCGCGCAACAAGGAAACAGTTTTTGTTAAAATAACTTTGTTAATTAAGCACACAGTATTGACAACATTCGGTAAATGATCGCCAATAACGAATACACTACACCGTACCACTAGGTATTATTCCAGTTTTTTGATTTATTGTATACGTAAACATGCACTCAGTCATAGCAGTTTTCTGCATAGGTTTTCCTGGTCTTTCTTGTAATGGCTATCAAAGGCAAGCACATTCCCGACCTGCTGTACAAACTCAGAAATCGAAGCCTTTGGCATGGTGCGCAGCAGCGGCTACGCAGCTCAACCGTTCTGCCAGCTGTCTCGCTGATTTGGATTGTCGTCACCTTTTCGTCCAGTTCGCCTCCATTAACCACACAATGACGGAATGGGAAAATTTTGACGTTGACTTTGAAGAGCGTCTGAACTCGACCTGGGATGATCCCGAGGACATCTTCTTTGGTCTCATCAGCGGACCCAGCTGGATGTGGGTGCTTCTGGATGTCATCCACCAAACACTTCTCCTGTCCATCAGTACTGCCAGTCAAATGCTTAGTTTCCTAATTATATTTTCCATTGGAAAGCTCTTCGCTTCTCACAGTAAAATATGTGAAAACCTGTTTAGTGATAGGGATTTTAAAAAGGTGAATCTTGACACATGGAAGAAATGCCGGCAAAATGTGCGCTGTCTCTTGGATATCTTGAACCAGTTCAACGATATATTTTCCTGGATTACTCTGGTTATCTGCGTACAAGACCTGTTGAACCTCGTACACTTTTCGGCGGTTGCACTGCAGCAAGTCGTTTTATCCAAGGGTGACGACGTGCAGGTGACGTGCATGCAAGCGTCCAACCGGCAAATCCTCCTGGTGCAACTTGCGGTTCCGCTGATTGTATCCGTTGTACACTTGATACTGCGATTCAGTTTGTGTAGCTATTGCGACGAGCAGGTATGTGTGCTGCTTAATGAAATAATGGTATAGGGTCATTTTTTTGGGTTGTTTTTGTTGTATAGGGACGACAATTGGGCTTTGTAGCTCAACAGCATGGTTTAGACACTGATGATCCACAGATCCGGGAAGAATGCCAGATGATTCAAGTGGCACTGCTAAACACTAACAGCACCGCTATTTCTGCCGGCGGATTTGGTTATATAACGAAAGAGTATCTATCAGCGGTAAGGTGTTTTCCCGGTCCCGAAAGTGAACTTATCTTGTCTGTTGTACCCTTCTCGAGCATTCTGTTGTATTGCATGTACGAATACTTATGTATTTGTTCGGGGCACTCTGCTTCCATGATATTTCTGACGTTGATGGATTGCAGCTTGTCGGACTCTTCTTGACATATTTCATCCTTTTGTACCAAGCTCGGGATTCAAAGCAGGATTTTCGACTTCTGCGCACTGATCTATTTAAAGAAATCAGGGCACAATTCGGATTACTTTTGAACACTTTATGCGAAAATATTACAGGCTCCGGTATGGATCAGAGCGTTGACAATCCGAGTACAGGGGAATCAGGAAGCGACTATGGCGAAGAAGACTCGGTTTACAAATGATCATATCTTGGAGTGATGTGCTTATTCTTCAGATTGTTTCGGGACGCGTTTGTGTTTTCGCGGTTGTAAGGATCGGTTACTTAAATCAAGCCCTTCATATGTACATATTCTCATAAGGTAGTTGTTCGTATAGAGTAGCTAGAACCAGGAAAAGGTAACTAGCTGTGATTATCCAGATGTACACGAAATTAACGACAAGATTTCGTTAACATATCATTTCCATAAAGGTGACTGTTGTTTTGTTTTGATGTGTGTATACACTGCATAATAACAGACCGGCACCGGTAACGCTTCTATAAAGACAACAATAAGACGGCATTTCGCCATTCCCGTAAAGCCTCATAAGAACCCTTGCGACATATTCACCATGGACTGACAATATTTTTTACATTACCATACGCCATTCTTCTGTACTGGATTCATATAAGAATCCGCTGAGCAGTTGAAAGCCTTTGAGAATTCGTCATAGTTCTGCATGGGTCCGATGACTCGGAACCGTCCAGGTGCATGCGGGTCTGCGAAATAAAGTAGTTGGTAATGCGCATTGCTTTCGTAAAAGGTGCGGACGGTAAACCAGCAATGGTCCTCGCCAGTTTAATAAAAGAACATCTTACTTCTCCGGACGTCAATATATAACCCCAAGTCGGTGTATGAGCTGCACCATGCCTGTAAAACAAAATTACAAATGTAGCTTTAGACAGCCCATATATCGCACCGTAGAACTGAAAACAGACTATTAGTGTACACTAAAAACAGACAAGTATACAGGACGAGTGTACCTGGGCATTGGCAATAAAAAATAATTGCTCTGCAGAAAAAAGAATTGTCAGAACTGCGGCAATAAGTTCCGAAGTCCGATTGAACGGTATATTCTCGTTGAAATACAGTTAACCTACCTGCGTTGTAATCCAATCCTGGAAGGGGCAACTCTGCTTTCCCACCCCGCTCTCGGCTCACAAATAGACGGTATGCCTACAAAAATTAGCACATGTACTCGTACATTGTACATGCAGATGCTAAGATGCAAACCACAGACTGATAATTTCACTGGGAATCTCTCGATACATCCACAAACATACAAAATGATCCTGGAACATTTAGACATTAACATATTGTATCATATACTGTCAGATGCGTTAACAGAATCAAGATATTTTTAACACAAACACTTTAGTGACTTTACTTGGCAGCTAATTATGGAGAACATTGAAAATACCTAAGGTATCCTATTAAAATACCCTACCTGAAAAGCCTCTTTAAGAGCACCGTTATCGGCAATGTTTTCTCCGATAGTTAATGTCCCGTTGACTCGCTCGCCTTGCATCTCATAGCCGTTGTACTGTTGGACCAGCCCCATCTTTCGTTGTTCGAAATTCATCCGCGATTCAATGTCCCACCAGTTGACCAGGTTACCATAGCCATCAAAAGCGAACCTGTTGTGGTTTGACTGTGAACGTACTTTTCTAGTTTCTACCACCAAGCGCTTCAACCAAAACCTACCAATGTCATCGAAGCCGTGAGTGATTTCATGACCGATGACTGTCCCGATTGCTCCGAAATTCCACCAATCAGGATAATCGTCACCGAAAAACGGCGGCTGCAGAATGGCAGCCGGAAAAGCTATACGAATATAATGTCAAAAACTTGAGCTGATGCCGTACGATGCAGTAATTCGAGCAGCCTTACTAATGGACGCAAAGTTTGGTATGTACCACGCGTTGATGGTTGCCGGACCGAACAACCACGAGGTTGTACCCATTTTCGTTAATAACGCTTGACCCTCCGACAAGGCCACGAAACGTCGGTAATTTATGGAATTGGCAACGTACGAATGTTTCGACACATTGAACTGCAAGCAATTACAATGATAGCATTTTCCTGTATTATCAACAGTAGAGCGTAAAAATTTATCGGGATTTACGTTTCGGTAGCCTTCGTCCAGGGCTTCTGGTGAATCGACAATGGCATCATCATACCCAATATTGACTTTAAAAAGCTGTGCTTTTCGCAGTGCTTCTAAGCGGGTTGTAGCGGTCATCCATTTGGAGTCCTATAAAGCAGACGCTTTACAAAACGTTGTCCCGGAACAAAGATCCCAAGTGACCTTTACCAGGATAATCGATCGCAACGAGCTGAATAGATAGTCCACTTTTTGCTCCAACTAAAATAAGAAGAAAATCGTCACTAACTCTTAACATGGTGGAGTAGACTAAAGAAGAACATGAGAAGCGGTACGAACTAGGTGGTGAGCTGGTTCGCCAAATAGAAAACTTAAGGATTATTCTGCAGATGCTAAGGGTTTTCATGCAGTGTGCTACTGGAGCCACTGCCACATTAAGACGACGTCAACGACTGAGCGAAATGTTTTAAGCACCGTAGGCGTATATGCTGAATACATATTAAATTACACTGTCTTAGCAAGTTTGCATAATCATGAACCCGGAAACCTTCGTAGTTCAAACACAAACGTTTCACCTGTTTTTCTTTATATAACCTTACCCGTTTCTTTGTGTCTTTATGGAAATGCTCCATCACATACAGTCGGCCAACGGGATCAGGTAGCTCCAGTTGTGTTCGTGTTATGCAGGTCACCCATCGCTCGGTAGCTTCGGTGATGCCGGCTGCAGCGGCTAAATATCGCCGTGTGATATTGGAGAAATCCTCGCCCAATCGGCTCGTAAAGGATGTGGCAAGTTGGAAAGAAATGTAATTCGCATACAGTCTACAAAAATGTTTTGGTTACTTACGTTTCTGTACAGCTCAATGACAAATACACATAGTTAATAGCGCACATAGTAAATTTCTTCTAATACCTTCGCATGTCCGAATCATTTGCAGCGTTACCGAAGAAATTAATAACAGCTTGATAATAACCAGGCTCCATTACGTTGACAATCGTGCTGGCGTTGACCAGATCGTTGACTTGCTTATTATCCCACGCATTGCGAAAATACTCAACCAATTTGTCCGTTGGCAGTCCCAAATGTTGCGTCGCGCCGGTGGCGAACTGCTCCATGGTCATTTTATTTGTCGTGATTTGTTTATTCTTTGCTTGCACCGGCGACAGTTTGTTCTGGTAAGAAAAATAAAAAAATTACAGAAAGTATAGAGGATAATGTTTTTAAGGAAACTCACCCTGGAAGTGGCAGCTTCATAGTCGTAGAACTCGAGAGTCAGTGTCTCCGCCTCTTCCGTCGACAAACTCATATTGGCTTTGCGGGTAAAGGTCAGCAACATATCCATCATCCACGCTTGGTAGTGGTTTAGATGTGTAATATTGGACCTTTTCAGGTACGCCTGCGTGTCGGGTCCGTACTGACCAGCGACAAACACAATAATCGGTTTGGTGGAGTCTTCTGTATCCGGACTGATACCGGCGGTGATGATGTTCAACGACTGTCCGTATTTGCGGGCGTTAATCAGAGCCTGTGCGATTTGTTCCATGGTGGGAATGGTGGCTTTATCACGATACGGGAAGCTGGTAATTTGTGGGAAGATGTCCTGCAGGAATTGTAGGTAGTAATCGAAGTTCTTCGGCGCTTCCAGTGCGTCTGTCAACAGAAAATACATTTTTTTGGGAGTTGATAAGTAATCGTGATGCAGTAAAGCACCTTCGTCAACGCACGTTCCATAATAAAACTGAGCTTTCTCCGTAGCATTCATTTGGGCAATATGGTCTTCGCTTTCCGTGAAAGGGTCACGACTGGGCTCGAGGAGTTCTGATGGCAGTAATAAAAATATTACTTCTCTGCGTTTTTCATTATATTGTAGTTTATAAGGGTAAAATAATTTCGAGGGGAACCTACCATGCAGAGCTTGATTCAAATCGACGCCTAAAAGTCCAAAAGCATCCCACTGGTTCGCGGTTAATGGCATGGGATGGGACTCCGCCCATGTGCCACAAGCGAAATCGTAGAAGTTATCGCACGGGTCAATACTCCTGGAGGATAAAATTTAACAGCAATTTAAATAAAAAAAGATTAGCAACCAGACCAATAATCTACTGAAATTATTGACAATATAATTGTCAAGAAAAAACTAACTGGAAAATTAATGAAGGTATTAAAATTAACATAAACTAGCATCAAAACGTTACATCACTATTTGTACCAAGTGCACACTACAGTACTTTCAAATCGTACGAGTACATACCTGTTCATGGATCGCTGGAGAGCATTCGCTGTAAAAAAAGGAGATATGAGCAAAATGAATGCTGCTCTTTACGCAATATATTTTAGAAATCGGAAAATTTTAAAAGTTCAGTGGTTCTATAACGCAGTAAACGCACCCCACGCCGCCAATTTTCTTTTGCTTTGCATTAGCACAGACTTAAAAATGTATTTCCTGATTTTCGTAGTAACCAGCTGAAAACGTTGTCTCCACACATATTTTGGGCTGACACACTTCTACGTTATAACTATCCCCTTACCAGCTTTCAAGCAACCCGCGCTGACGCATTCGGTTTCGGAAAAGGGCGTTTCTGTCGATGTGGTTGCCGGCGGTGTTGAGTTTGTGGCCGGTGATGGTGATGTAACCGGCAAAGTGGAATTAGTGTCTGCCGAAGATGCTGTTACCGGCGCGGTAGCGTTCGTTATCGGTGTAGTTGACGTGACCGATACCGTGGAGTTGGTAACCGGCGTAGAAGGCGCAGTTACCGGTGGTAAAACCGGTGATGAAGTATCACCTGGTGCTGCAGTCTAATGATCCAAACAAAAGCTGTGTTTAAAAATGGCAAATTAAACAATAATTTCAGAGTGCTTGAAATAGTGGTTTAAAGTAATTTTCCGCGCAGCGGTATTATTTAATACTTCAGCACCAGTTTTGTCGGACAGTTAGTGTATTAAATCGACATAAATAACAGTTAGTATGTTTACCGGTGACGTCGATTTGTCTTCGAAGTACAGAACCGCGAAGGTAACCGTTAGCATCACGAGAGCCGAAACAACCAAAGCGAGAGAAAAGGCTAGCGCCTTATTATTAGCAATCGAACCTTTCCTGCAAGGAAAAAATTTAAACTGTTGTGCTATAATTGTCGTAGCACTTGCCCACAGTGATGTTAGTTTCAAAATGGGTTATTCAAAACACTTACCCCATTTTAGGTGCTAAAATCCTTATGATAAGAATTTGAATCAGCAGTTCAGCCCTCAAGCCAGATACAATAAATCAGCTGGAGGTGATCACAGGCTGTAATTCACAGCTATTAAAGTGTATTCTCGTCCAATATAATAAATCTGGCAAATCCTGGCAAAACTGCACAGGATATTTTCTATAGTTATGCTCTGGCGCTGGCTGACAAAAGTAGGCATCCTTCGGAATGTCAACGCTTTATCGCTCCAAATTTCGTAACTTGTACAATCGTTTATGCAATGCATCTTGTAAAGATAACAGCCACTAAACACTGTACTTGCCATATTGTGACAATTATATTTGCTATCTGCTCTCTGTTGTGAATCTTACTGAATTATTTTACATACGTCTTGCTTTCAGTTTCCCTGATAAGATGTGACACATATCTTTACTCACAGCACCATCATACAGTAATCGTGTGAAACTACGAGTCGATCCACTACCGTATAATACAACTTTTGTTTATACTTTAAAGTACTACTTTGATGCGCTTTCTGTATTGCATTGTACGCCAATCGGCAACACAAATTAGTACAAAACGGGTGTTGATTGTTCGAAATGCGAGAACGTTATAAAAAATGTTAAATTTCAATAAAAATCGATCGAAAGCATATGAAATGCAAGATCACTGTTAATCAAAAACATTCCTCGTCATTTTCCAAAATACAAAAAAACTGCTGCAGATTTCTTTGGCAATAATACTCGTACTGTATGAGCGATTTGTATCGGTCAAAGAAGTGACAAACCGTACCCGGTACTACCGTGTACGGTACACGGCACGGTCAGACCGAAAGAAACCGATTGAGAAACGGCTACGGTGACCGGTTTACCGTACGTAGCCGTAAGCCAAAAACTAGGTTTTAACAGGGGCGATCGTATACGGTACTGCCGTATACATATACGGTCGGTCAATTACCGGAGCCGTATAACCGTATCGAAATTCACGAATTCGTCAGTATGGTTTGCCTCGTCTAATATTCTGCCATCGTGGCATAATTATCTGTATTCTGAACGTATTTTTATCTGTATTATTTTGATGTCAGGAGGGAAACTGGGATCTGTGGTTAGTGTGTCACAAGAGAATGCTTAATAATATTTAAACAGCCCTTTCAGTTGAACTGAATCAGCTAAAAAACATGCAAAAATATCATATGTGTATACACAGATACCGGTATGTATATCTATACTTCGAAGTATACATATATCTATATATATACGCATATGCATGCTGCGAAAAAAATTCAAATGTATATAAACGTACTACCGGTGATTGTTAGCCAATAGCCACATTATTGCACGAGCGCGAGCTCCGTTACCACTAAAAAATGATAATATTGGATTTGCCCCATTTGTTGAATTGGAAAAGTGTGCCATGACTTTTTGTAGCGTCAGGAAAATTTTTGCTTATCGGAGCATCTCGCTACGCTTGATTAGAAATAATTATACGTACTTTCAAACTATGGCACACCGACATGTGTAAGTACGTAAATGCACAATACGTGATTACATACATACCTGCTCTTGGTATTATAACGTTGGGTTAACCAACTCAAACTGGGGTGGCGATATGCCGCTCCAGAAAGCTAAATGGTTTACGTTAAGATGGTGGTTGTTGTAGAACAAGAGAAAAGGTCACGGACGTTTCGTAGGTAATTTATTAGCACAGCTCGTAAGTAATTAGAATAGCTCGTAAGTAAGAGTAATTAGAATAGCTCGTAAGTAACGCCAGCTCGTACAGTCGATAGCTCGTAAGTCGTTTGCTCGTGGAATGTTCATAGCTCGCAGGATTGTTAGCCGAAGCTAACTCCCTCTTTGACATTAAGCGAACACAGCTTTTTATAGTAGAACATGACGCATAGTTAAATCAGATAAATTAGTCAACACGGGTGTTGATGTTAGTCATCTGGTTTATCCGTTATAGTATCTTAATGGATGCAGAATTGAAAGTTAAGTCGCGGCCATTCTTGCATTCGACCACAGTAATGTGCGATCGGCACTTACTCTTTACACAATCATCCAATTTAAATTATTTAACTACTTTAGCAACCCAGAATCCTGCAAGATCCAAAGTGGAAGCAATTCAAAGTTATTTAAACAACGAATGTCGGAAAGCATGAACAATAACAATACTCTGCGGGACGAGTGCGTGCCGATCGCGACTACCGTGCTGACGATAATTAAGTACGTAAGTTTAAATTTACGATGCCATACGCAAGGGCGCCTGGCATAAAACCGGAGTAGAAAATTCCATTATAAATTGTCAATAGACATCAGCTTGGTGTATTCCATTCGCGATTCAAGTTAAATTACGGATCGGTACATCCTAAACAGGAAAAAGGTGACTTTTGTAAGGAAATCGTTTCACTTAACCAACCAAAGTCAGATACCAGATGGAGTACGAATACCATTTTGAAAAGTATTGGGGTTTCATAACAAAGTGATTCAATCAAAGAAAACTAACTTCTATGGGAATTTCTATGAGTCTGTGACCCTAGGTCAAGCACGGCGATAGCCTGCCAGACTGACAGACCATTTGGAAGGTCACTTGTCGGAAGATAGCACAACAGAGCCCTACCACATAAACGGAACTTTCTGAACCGCACTACAGTTATCACAAACTGTTATGGTCATCAAGATGACCATGCAGTAACCACAGACAATAAAAATTGTGAATAAAACACGTGTGGGCGGGGACATGGTCAAACAAATACAGCATTTTGTTGTCTTAAAATATGATACAGAAATGATTTGACACCAGATCAAATCGGCAAACTATATTTTCGCTTGTGACAGCGTAATAACGCTAGAAACGCCGATCAGTATATATATTGTTGCCGGTTGGATAAATACCACAGCAATTACCGTACGGCGGTATTTCACTGATAGATACTACAACAATTAAAAGTGATTACGGGTTGATTCGTACTCCACTTTCCTAAAAACTGTAAATAGACCGATAGAGGCACCAGCGCCTAGCGCCGCCTACCGACCGCAGCGACCGGCACTGCATTACCAGCAGCTATAGAAGTAGTGTGTTTATAGCGCATAGCTCTTACTCTAGATAACTGAACCCGCAAGATCATATTATCCCTTTGCCGTTGTCGCAGCTCGTCAACATGTAATACCGGCCAAATGTTAAGATACTGTAAAAAATCTGGAATTTTCTGCCCGATTTTCTGGTTTAATGTCAGGCTTTATGACAGTGTGAGATTCTGAACAGAATTTTTAGTTTACTGGGCAAGCAGCGCCATGCCCATCCCTGTCAAACTTGGCAGGAAATTTCTGAATGACCATCTTTGGCCACTGCACAGTTCCTTTTAGACCTTGTAAAATTTATGCAACGAAAGCCGCAGGATCGGCTGAACTGTATTAGTTCAGAATTGTCTCCTATTCGGAAGGCCGCAGATGCATCCAGAACCCAAAAACTGGCATTTTGGTCATCTGTGGTCACTACTTCTGCGCCCAAAATGTAACAACCTGATGGTCGAATTGTTTAAAACGACCTCCAGCATGTTTTACCACGAACTAGAATCACTAAATCCTTCTGCACTGTGAACTGTTAAAGGAACAAACTCCGCCACTCTGCCAGTGGCTGGGATGACCAGAAACTAGTTAAAAACCGTCCGGATCTGTGTTAGGTCAGTTACAGGACATGTTTTTAAAAGTTCTTAGTATCTGCGTCGCTGGTATGATCCCCGAAAGCAGTCCATAGATGGTCGGATTCTGTCTTGCAGTAGTATTCCTTAATAACCATATGCTACTTTAATCCGGGTATTGGGGGCCTGCATGACAAATTTCCGGGGTCAATACATAAATGACACTCTCAAAGGGAATAACCCGGAATTATTGCTTTCGAGTAGCTAATTTACTCTAGTCCCTCACACGATGATTCCTAATCATTTTTGCGATGGAATATGCTTTTGTCAAAGCACTGAAGCGAACGGTTGCATACCCGAACATGGATTTCATTTCGATAAGATACACATACCGGTATTTAGTTTCGACTTTCGTGTCAAAATAGAGTATTTTGCGATCAACACGTTTGGACTATGTATTTCACTACAACAAAAGTATTATTCTGTGTGTGTTTTATAAAAACAATAAGAATTTCTTACGGCCAACAGGATAACGCCACCACAACGGCGCCCGTTGAAACAACAACATTTGCATGGCGCACAGTCCAAGCCAAAGATTTTTTGCCGGCAAGTCTTCCTGCAATGAACGACAGCGTTACTTTACGCGGCTGCATCCTTATGGAACGCGGAAATACGTATGATCTCCATGATTATGATAAATCCGCAGCGGCCATTGAATTAGCCGTGGAATGGGTCAATCAGAATGTGTTTCCCGCCAATCTCACCATGCAGACTATTTACGTCGATATCGGAAGTCGATGCTCGGGGAAACCGATGGTATTGTCGTATGCCATGGATTTATGGCAGAGAAATATTACTTGCAACGCGTATTTCGGTCCCGGTAAGAAAAGCGACGTTTGGCATATGATATTAATTATATTACTAATTCAGTCTAATTGTAAGGAGTGCAATACTACAGTAACTTCGAGGTATAGTATGATCATGAAGCATGATTATTTTGGAACCTGGTGCAACAGCACAAAAATTTAATAAACTTGAGTTATAACTTACTGCAGCGATCCGACGGGATTGCTGTGTTCCCAAACGCAATAGTACCTTTTGCGATTACTACCCATACCCATACGCCATCTATATCACATACTGAAAGATGTGTTTTATACATGTGTTATATACTGTGTTTGTGTTGAAGATGTGTATGTGTTATATACTGTGCTTTTCTTATAGCATATGTGAATATTTTATTGAATTTCGTAAAATTTAGGGATCTTATTAGCGATTCAAAAGCTGTAAACGATAGCAAAAAGCACATATTTTTGTTTACAGGATGCGGCACAGCTGCCGAGGTGTTGAATGACTTTGCCGAATATCTTAGCACTCCCATCTTTGGAATGCCAGCCGCTAGTGTCGGAATCAAAGCGCCATTTGCGAATTACAAGCTGATGATCCGTGCATCGGTATCCCATACATCCATGGCCTACGCCCTCATCCGCTTCCTAACCTACTTTAACTACACTACACCATATTTCTTCCTTGATACCTTCGGCACATTCTACCGCGAAATGCGTGTATTGGTATCAGCCACTTTTTTGCGTCGAAAT